TGCTTGATATTTGCCCCAAAGGAAGAAACTCACCTCTACTACTCAGCCTGACCTATGACTCACAGCTGGTTACTGAAGTCTACAAAACTTAGTCTGTGTCAGGATAGACATATAATCTCATAATTCATCACAAAGTAAACATCCGCCATAACAGGTCCCAATACAGTCCTGTCCCTTTGAGTATTCCACCAAGGACAGTTAATCATTTGTCAGGCTATTAAACATAATTAAATATGGCCAAAGACAGCCTGTATGTAATGGTAATGCTATTATAGAGACTCATTGCCCAAGGCAACATAAAATACATCAGTCATTCTTCAGTTAAGGATATGGAGGACATTTTCATGACTTTCTAACCAAATGACACAAACTGGAGTGAGTGAGTGAGTGAGTGAGATCAGCAATATGCCGCTTTTAGCAATATTCCACCAATATCATGGCAGGGTACACCAGAAATGGGCTTTACACATTTTACCCATGTGGGGAATCGAACCCGGGCCTTCTGCGTGATGAGTGAACACTTTAACCACTAGGCTACCCCACCGGCCCAAAACATACTGGAAGACTGAGTTTGATTCCCAGTGGAATCTACAGTAACACTGTGGAAAAATTGCTGACAGCAGCTCACTGACAAACTAATATTTGAAGTTGTTATGTAGCATCTTCCTATTGGATATGAATATTCATAAATCTTGGCCAAAACGAATCATTTTACCAAAACATCAAGATATGAATGACACATGTGGTGAGGAATATATTCTCAAAATTTGTAGTTTGTATTTGTCAAGCTGACCACCATTAGTAATCTTTAACTAAAGTTCATCTGGAATGACACAATTACCCTGTACTGTTTTCCTGAATCATTTCATTTATAGTTCCAATATTTTAGATTTTATTGCTAGTTTTAAATGGATATCTGTGATACACTAGTAGTTTTACTGTTCTTCGTCAACAGGTTTTTTAATTTCTAACTTTATTCATCTTTAATATAATTATAAAATGTTCTCGTCACTCACTCACGAGAAGCCCATTTCTGGTGTCCCCCGCTGTGATGTTGCTGGAATATTGCTAAAAGTGGCGTAAACCAAACTCAGTCAGTCAAATGGTGATGACTTACTGAGGATGGAGCCGAAGAGGTTCAAAGATTGCTTTACCAGGAGACTCCATATTTCACATTTCCTAACATCATCGTGTTCACAAACATCCTACCTGTAAACATTTGTATATCAATACTTGTCACAGCAATGTCAGAAACTGTTTAATACTAATCAGTTTTCAAGCAGAATTTTTATTAGATCAGGAGTTTTCGGATCCAAATTATCCAGTAGGCAGCAGCTTAATGTGTCACAAGAATGAAGCCCTATATTTCACTGTAAACACCCACTGTGGATCTAAAGAAAGAATATAATATGTATAACACTTGTTACGCAGTCTGACTGACTGGACTGGCAGAATTTCCTCTCAACCACACCCTTGAGATATTTGTCTGCAATAACATACGAAGTCCTGCATTCTTTATAGACCCCTGTCATGACAGGGCAGTGGGACACATACAATATGGCTTTCATTAACAGCTGAATGTTGACTATGGACAAACAGAAAACAATTGATTCAATATGTAATCACGAAATATACTAGCTTCATTTACTGATAGGGGGTAGCTAATTACATCTTCTAAATATCACAACTCACCAATGCATCTAATTATCAAGATTATGCTGATAACCATGGTAACGTAATGCTTAACTAGACCTATGTCTTGAATCAACATACTTAAGACACTGACGTATTATCTTAAAGAATAGAGCTGTCAAAACACAGGTTCATTATTCAGGATTCCTTAAAGTGAGAGCCACCTGACTGTACAGGTTTTTACAGCAGGGAGCGATTTCGTTTTCATTCAGTACCTGCACCAAGTGCAACCTGGCTTATAGGTTTGGCTGCACCATAAAAACTTTGGTTGCACCATAAGTTAATGTGACTGGTTCTAATAAGTAGCTTCATTACATGTTTATCAATTTTCATAACAAGTACTCAGTATCAGACACATTCAACAGAACCTGACCCCATGATCATCAATAACGAAAGGTTCTGTTTCAATTGTGCGTGACCTTTATTTATAAATCTCAATTATATGATTACTGCTATGTTACTGATTATGGGCGCACGAATGTTTCTGCTTGTAACAAGTCACGTTGACAGAAACGTACTACTTCCAGCCACTTACTTCCTAACTAAAACACATGATGACAGCTGTAAGATGTTGGAGGATTTATTGTTACCTGCCCCAGGTGCAACCTGTTACTGAAGGTAGCCTTCACCAGCCATTGTTAACATGCACCAGTGCCAGTTGTAAATAGCAAAATCGCAACCTGCAGGGTCATATGAAAAGTTGTATATTTGTCATCCATGACCGATCATGATATCCACCTAACAATGTGTTTATTTACATATGTTTTACCGTCTTAATAAGTATTGTGACAGCTAGTTTCATAAAAATGTCACAAGGAAAATAAGGACCAGTTTGACAACATTTGTTTCTTCAGCCTGGTAGGCCCTGATGACGTATGACAACCTGCACTACTGGTCATGTTTAGATATGGATATATGATGACGGGAAGGATTCCCGTAGCCTGCCCTTTCGTCGAACTCTTATTTATGCAAAGAATTTAGGATGAAAGAATGGGCATACATTTAACGGTCCGTCTGTTAGAAACTGTGACATAATGTTTAATAAGTCCTCTGCGGGATAGTACACAGACCCAAGATTAGCTGTAACTTTAGTGTAAGTTCTAATACTTTTCATCAAGTCTATTACCGTGGAATCTGTCAAATCCGGACTCTGTGTCATCCGGTTTTCTCCATAATCTGGACTACCCTCCAGCAAAATTGTTCTTAATTTATCATCAAAGCATTATAATCCGGACTCTCTCAATTACGAATTTACTAAAATAACAGTCCCGACAACCAACTTGCTATGAGAACAGTGCTTCGTAATCCGGACGTAGCTGACTAAAATAACAGTCCGTTGAATAAACATCTCTGTTACTTCTGTTCACAATGGTTAATGACTGAAAACATTGTATTACGTGGAAATTTACAGAGGCAGAAGCAATTCATGTTAACAGACTTTATCCAATGAAAGCATAAATAATATATTGAGCATAAACAAAAAAGAACGATTCAAGTTGTTGGTTGTCCTTAACAACGGTAGGTAACTCATCTTGACAGTGAACACGGTAACGGACAAAAGTTGTCTAATCCGGACTGCTTTACAATCCGGACAAATGAGTCGGTCCGAAGCCAGACTGTAATAACCAGATTCCATAATCGCCTTTTCATGTTGAGAAATGCTTCCAATTGTTAATTGTCTTTGAAATAAGCAAGTCTTTGTTCAATACACGACCATGAATATACAATGTAATCATTAAATGCTTTCACCATGCATACAGGCATAAATCACTGCTTCACATTATCAAGCTAATGCAGATCATGGAAGCTGGTCCACCTTTGCATGCTTGCCTGAAGATAGTGTTTTCAAAATCTTTGATCAGGGGTTGAAAGGAAACTTTCAAAAAGACTTTTCCTATTAATACTTAATGGGACAGTAGAAGTGGAAATTACTAAATTTTGAATTTCTCTCTTTTATGTAGCATGTGACATGATTGTTAGAGACTGAACACACCTTGAAATACATCAAATACAATGACATCATGCTGCGCAATGGTCACTGAAGGGGGGCCAGGTGTGATGGAGCATTGGTTGAATAATTATGGGCTGCACAGGAGAGTGATTTCTATTGAACAGGAATTAATAGATTGTATCATCGCACTTCTCGTCTTCAAAATGAAGATTTTTATCAACAGAAGTCTTGTTTGCTAACGTTTTTGTCATTTTACTTGGGGTTTCATATGGTACAATAGAAGCATTATGATATAAAATCAAAATCTATAAACACTTCAATAGCTGCTTATTTAGTTAAGAGCTATGATTATGTTTCTGTGGTGTTGGAATAAGAAAGAATACATATTGTTCTACATCTGACATCCTCTTAGAAATATATTCATGTCACTCAGAAAAATTTGTGCAGAGTATGTAACACATCAACTGAAGAGGAGCAGGCATAAAGATTTTAACTTATTCATTCTTTTAATTCAACTCTGGTCTAGTTGATACTACAGCTTCAAAAATGCCACAAAATTATGACACATTTTTGAAAAATATAGTTATATAATTATATATTGGATTGTAATAGTGGTTTTCACAAAGAGAACTACATCCTCAGCCAGAAGACCCATTGCTGTGAAAGACTTCAATTGTACAGTAGGTCTGCAGTGTTGTTTGAGCGAACTCTTGTCGAGTTGTCACTAATGTTAAACAGGATTTTAGTGCTGTTGAGGCTAAGAGGGGTCGTTCCGTAAAGTCTTAGGTAACCTCCATGGTGATGAACATGTCACCGAGATTTACCAAGCAAGCAACACTGATACATATCCCTGTATTGTTTGATACAAGCATACCTCACATACATGTTAGAGATTACTGAACATCACAGCATATAGGGTTGCACACTTCAGAAATCAGATTACTCAAACCATCTCAAACCTAAACAATAACCATCTATTTCTAGGCAAGAGATGATTCAAAGGCCGGTTACCATTATTGGCAACATCTGGGCACATATACCACTGTCAAATACAGGTAACAAATCAACTATGTCCACATTGTAATTCCAAACCAAACAAGCTTCCCTCACACAGAACAAGGGCAAATGTGGCGAGCAATCACAAGTGATCGACTGTTAGGCTCGTCTCATTCTTCGTGTCACACCCCAACCCAGTCGATGTAAACAGGGACACCTAGAGTTTAAATACTGTAAATACATGTGAGTTCAACACAGACTGTGGCCTTCTCTGCGGCCGATATGCCCGCCAGACCTCTAACTAGGAAGTGAGATGCATGTGACAGATTGGCTAATGCCCAAAAAATTATATGTCACTTACCAGGATTCTATTTTCGAGCTTTTCAGGGCGCACTTCCTGCCTGACCATACGCTTAATGCTGAATTTCATACGTCTGTCAACCACATCGCGAATACTGTCTGGAATACATGAAAATTGTGAGGGTATTTAATTTATTTTTAGGTGAAATACTGTCTTGCAAATCAGCAGGTGTCTGCTCAAATACACAGGAAGTGGTTGAAAGCGTTAAACGACACGATTTTCTGGAGAATCTTGATGGGAAACCCTCCGTCACTTACCTTGTATGTCACGAGGAATATTGTTTACAGCTGCCATTTTGGTTAGAGGAAAAGTTCATTAGTATCCTAGGGTTATTGTTGGGTTAATCCACTGACACGTCTCGCGGTGAGCCCAGACTAAACCTCCCCTACTTGCAGAGGGAGTGTCCCTCTCTCGCTATACGCCATTACTCTGAGGGAAGTGTTGTTGTGACGTCACGTGGGTAGGAGAGAATCCGTGACGTCACGCACTTCCGCATTTGGGGACAGGCTGAGGCAGGGAATAAAAAGCCAAGGCTCGTGTGATGTGTAGTTTATACAAATCATTTTTTTAAAGTAGGCGCTCTCGAGTATATATCTTGGTTAATGTAACTATGACATTTTATTTTGATCAGATGGATATATTTCGGAAAGACAAGCATATATGTTCCTTCCATATGTCAAGCAGTAATGTTCAGTACTCAGTAAGAAGTTCCATTGTAACGGCGAGTCTTGAATCTTTAGCATGACTTTACTTGAGCTAGATTTCCCGATGGAGGTTTATGACAATGGTAAATACGACAATATTTGATCACATAAATTACAGAAAGACGCTAGCTGAGGAATCCGTTTGCACATCATAAAACTAGCCTGTGTACGGGTTTAGCCGTGGTACGATGTAGAAACTATCGACTAAAGTAAATATATACGCCATGTCTCACCACGGTTCTAAATATTTATTTTCAGCATTCTCGTACGTGATGTCTGTTAATGGCAATTACCTTCCACTGACTGTTGGGTAGTAATTGCTGCAAGTTGTATAGCTATGTGTCAGCAGATGTAATTAAATTGCAATTACGCGTGAGATCAGTGCTCGTCACATAGTGAAGGTCACGATTAACACACACACACACACACACACACACACACACACACACACACACACACACACACACACACCGACTCCACAAGATCACCGGATTTGTCGCACGCGGGTCACGTGACGGCTTAACTCACGCAACTATTTAAAACCCCTGTAAAATAAACACATGTAATACACTTTGCACTTCATCGGGTTGAGGGTGACATTTAAAGGCATGGTCTCTCTCCAATGTAACGCTCTCGGTAAATAGCTTCTGTATAAAAGAACAGGAAACACCCAATATACAAGCGCAGTCGTGTTGTTTCACATTTGTCTGTTCTTGTAATATAAGACAGTCCGTCAATACCCGTCAATCGATGTAATGTATTACACACAGCGATCGTTATGATTACCGAAACTGTGTGTTAATGCGATTACCCCATAAAAACATATCACAATCATCCGATTATTATTTACCGTAAGCGTCTTACGTAAGATCAGGCCAAAGCAAATAATTGCTGTATCAGAATGTCAGTTGAAATATTTCCAAACTATTGAAAAGTTTCGATGATGCGCTGCAAGATAAAATGTGTCATCGCACATTTCAGCAATAAAGGAATTCTCGGTTGTGTGGTTGTGGACTCACGAAGGAATACAGAGGGAGTAAGAGAGTTGAAGCTGTTTTACAAACATTCCTAGGGGTCAGTATACATGCACGTGTCCTCCCCAGTATACCCACACCTGTCCTCCCCAGTATACACACACCTGTCCTCCCCAGTATACCCACCCACACCTGTCCTCCCCAGTATACCCACACCTGTCCTCCCCAGTATACCCTCACCTGTCCTCCCCAGTATATCCACACCTGTCTTCCCCATTATATCCACACCTGTCCTCCCCTGTATATCCACACCTGTCCTCCCCAGTATATCCACACCCGTCCTCCCCAATATATCCACACCTGTCCTCCCCAGTATATCCACACCTGTCCTCCCCAGTATACCCACACCTGTCCTCCCCAGTATATCCACACCTGTCCTCCCCAGTATACCCACACCTGTCCTCCCCAGTCCTCCCCAGTATACCCACACCTGTCCTCCCCAGTATACCCACACCTGTCCTCCCCAGTATACCCACACCTGTCCTCCCCAGTATACCCACACCTGTCCTCCCCTGTATATCCACACCTGTCCTCCCCAGTATATCCACACCTGTCCTCCCCATTATACACACACCTGTCCTCCCCTGTATATCCACACCTGTCTTCCCCATTATATCCACACCTGTCCTCCCCAGTATATCCACACCTGTCCTCCCCAGTATACACACACCTGTCCTCCCCTGTATATCCACACCTGCCTTCCCCATTATATCCACACCTGTCCTCCCCTGTATATCCACACCTGTCCTTCCCATTATACCCACACCTATCCTCCCCAGTATACCCACACCTTTCATTCCTTGTCGTCCCCAGTTTACCCACACATGACCTGTAGTGGTTTAGCGTTCGAACTCCTGTTCGATTCCCCACATGGGTACAATGTGTAAAGCCTATTACTGGTGTTCCCCGACGTGACATTGCTGGGGTATTGCTAAAGCCGGCATGAACCATTCTCCCCCCACCAGTGTGCGACCAGTGCGACACTGCGGGTCAACGTATACCGAGACTGAAAAACCTGTTTGCGGGTCCAGACTTGATTATAACTTGACCTGTTACCTTGACCTGTTGTGTTAGCTTGATACATCTAAGACGTTTTGCTCTTTGGTGAAGCCTTGGATTAGGCATGTGTGATTCGAATGTGCGATAACAGAATTCTGGCATGAGCAAGGGGCGGTGTAATGGTGAGAGCATAATTCTTACATAACGCTGTCTCCTGTGGAGTATTCCCAAACACGCCAGTAGTGATGTTCAATGTGCTGACATGAGTACATATGTAAATTACATGCTTATGTAAAGCACCCTTTGCCTTACAGCATCAGTGAGGGAGTGAGTATAGTTTTACGCCGCTTTTAGCAATATTTCAGCAAAATCACGGAGGGAACACCAGAAATGGACTTCACACACATTGTACCAATGTGGGGAATCGAACCCAGGTCTTCGGTGTGACGAGAGAACGTGTTATCACTTGGCTACCCTTCCGGCCCTATAACACGAGACAGTGACAAGTGGGTGGCTTGAGGAAGCAGGGATACCGACTTGTGTGTATAATATACACTCACACAAGCCCTCACCCAGTGTACCCGTGAAGGCCCGGGTTAGAATGAACCTTCAGTGACCCATGCTTGTCGTAAGAGGCGACTAACGGCAACGGGTGGTCAGGCTCGCTGGCTTGGTTGACACGTCATCGGTTCCCAGTTGCGCAGATCGATGCTCATGCTGTTGATCACTGAACTGTCTGGTCCAGTCTCGATTATTTACAGACCGCCGCCATACAGCTGGAATATTGCTGAGTGCGGCGTAAAACTAAACTCACTCCACTCCCTCACCTAGTGTATACCCGTGAAGATCCGGGTTAGAATTGATCTTCACTTCAGTAACTCAAGATTGTCGTAAGAGGCGACTAAAGGGACCGGGTGGTCAGGCTTGCTGAAATGGTTGACACATGTGATCGTATCCCAATTGTGTAGATTGATGCTCATGCTGTTGATCACTGGATTCTCTGAAGCACATTCGATTATTTAAACATCGCCGCCATAGATCTGACATATTGCTGAGTGCGGTGTTTAAACGACCTCACCTCGTAACAGGACACTTGTTAGACCGGAATGGTTAAACTACATCTGTCCTCATTCCTTCCGACATTTCTCTATATAGGTGGCTACCTATAGCCGATAAAAAAATGCCCCGCTACCCGCTGAATACCTAGTCTTTGGTTATCTGTGCCGCCATTGGTACCTGTCGGTATCAGTAAGTCTGTCTCACAGTCCCTGAACCGCCTTATCCGTTCCACCTAAAACTTTCTGCAACGCTAAAGTCCTAAATGAAGCAAGTCTAGATTTCCCCGGGGTTCGGAATTTCCCTTCTTCAAGGGGCTCCTTTTCAATTTGGAAGGATTTGTTTGTTTTAGTATCAATATTAGATATATTCAGAGACTAAGCGTTAGTCAAAGTATATATGTCAAAGTATATGTACCCGTAACTCAGAATATTTCTGTGTTATTGTGTAGAGCATATAAGATATGACATAATTTGCCTTGGAAGAACACCTTTTATCACATATGGCTACCAGTGGCTACTGTGGTTGCCGAGGCTTCATAGCTCATATGAACGCAATAATCACCACCATAGTGTACACCATCATCACTATAGTGTATATCATCATCATTATAGTGTATAACATCATCACTATAGTGTACAACATCATCACTATAGTGTACAACATCACCACCATAGTGTATAACATCATCACCATAGTGTACAACATCATCACTATAGTGTATAACATCATCAATATAGTGTATAACATCATCACTATAGTGTATAACATCACCACCACGGTGTATAACATCATCAATATAGTGTATAACTTCATCACTATAGTGTATAACATAACCACCACGGTGTATAACATCATCAATATAGTGTATAACTTCATCACTATAGTGTATAACATCATCACTATAGGGAACAACATCACCACCATAGTGTACAACATCATCACCATAGTGTATAACATCATCACTATAGTGTATAACATCATCACTATAGTGTATAACATCATCACCATAGTGTATAACAGCATCACTATAGTGTATAACATCATCACTATAGTGTATAACATCACCACCACGGTGTATAGCATCATCAATATAGTGTATAACTTCATCACTATAGTGTATAACATCATAACTATAGTGTATAACATTATCACTATTATGTCTAACATCATCACTATATGTCCAAGATAGTTTTATGGATTAAACTTCTTTTTTAATTTCTCTCAAGACGTTTCGAGACCATTCCAGATCCCTTCATTAGGTGAGTTCAATGTTCAACTTCTAAATGCCACTGAAAGACATCATCATCACTATAGTGTATAACATCATAACTATAGTGTATAACATCATCACTATAGTGTACAACATCATCACTATAGTGTACAACATTATCACTATCATGTATAACATCATCACTATAGTGTATAACATCATAACTATAGTGTATAACATCATCACTATAGTGTATAACATCATAACTATAGTGTATAACATCATAACTATAGTGTACAACATCATCACTATATGTCCAAGATAGTTTTATGGATTAAACTTCTTTTTTAATTTCTCTCAAGACGTTTCGAGACCATTCCAGGTCCCTTCATCAGGTGAGTTCAATGTTCAACTTCTAAATGCCACT